AAAGGACCAACCCTGTGTGTGGATGTTGGGACGTCCAGCTAACAGAAAGACAGGGAGCTGGAGACTGAGCTCAGTCATGCAGCCAGTGTTCAGTCTTGCGTAATGAAACCCCAGTGAAATCGCTGGACACTGGGACTGGGGCTCAGTGGAGCTTCCTGGGAGGTGACTTGGCTGAACTCCATGGGGAGAAAGCACAGAAGCTTTGCCATCCTTCTCAGATCTTGCCCTGCATGTCTTCATTTGGTTGCTCCTGGGTCGTATCCTTTGTAATAAAACTGCCATCATCAGTTTAGCACTTTCAGTGAGTTCTGTCATTCCATTTATCAAAACTGAGGGGTCACGGGAACCCCCTGCTTTGTAGCTGCTAGTCAGAAGCACAGGTGTCCTTGGGACCCCACTTGCAGCTGGCATCTGAAGCAGAGGTCATCTGTAGGGGGCTGAGCCCTTAACCTGTAGTTTCTGATGCTAACCCTGGGAGGTTAGTGTCAGAACTTCATTGCAGCAGACCCCAGGTTGTGTTACCCCAGGAGAAGTGGAAATGGAACACGTGTACACAAAAACATGCTCATATTTGAATTAAAGGGCGTAGTGTATGTACTTGGATGTGTCCATGCCCAACAGGAGGCACTTGCCTGTGTACTAACCCCCAGACCCACCTACTTTCTTGCCACTATCTTTAACAGCGGGATTTCAATGTAGCCACTCCTGGCTTGTGCTGCTCTCCTGGCTGTACCCATATTTTCCCAGCAGAGGGCGCTCCAACCCCACAAGTCCTCCACCTCCGCACAGGGGCTTCAGCTCTAAAGCAAGGTTGGGGGGAAGCTCAGAAAAAGAAAGTAGGACCCCAAACTGGCTCGGGGAAATCAGATTCTTATTAGGTGTCTGAAAAGGCAGCAATGCAGCTGGCTTCAGTGACACGGGTCCCAGTGGGGGAGCTGGGGCCAGAACCCTTAATCTGCCCACTCAGGAGCAGATGCAGTTTCTGTGGAGCCTGAGATTATACGGTCCGAAACTTCCCCCTCCCTTTTTTTTTTCCAAAAAATACAAATGTATAAATACAATGTAAGGCTTAGCAAGTGGATATGTATCTAGAATGAGAGAAGAAATTCACAACAAGTGACACATTTTAAAAAACTGACAGCGGCATAAACATCAAATCCACGCTGGGGCCCTCAAAGGGGTCCCACTGAGCCCCTGCCTGCAGGTCGACCAGCAGAGACCAGGCACCTTCCTGATGTGGAGTCCGGTTTGCTTCCTGAGACCGTTTTGCCACGAAAACTGGCTGGAGGAGTCAACTCCAAGGATTCGCGCTTGCCTGGTCCTCCCCACCTCTCTCCTTGCCGCCATCCTGGAGCAATCATTGGTAGTCACACCATGAGCATGCGTGGGATGCTGTCCCTTTTCTCTGTTGAGCCCAGAAGGCTACCACCTCCACGTCTGCCTTTTGGGAGGCGTGAGGCAGTTCTTGCAGCTTTTCCTTTCCTGAGTCCTGGGTCCACTGTGGGTCCTCCATCCACTTGGCATTATTTCAAGACTATGAAACTCACAGCCCCCAAAAGACTTTTCCTAAGGGCACTGTGATGCAAGGAAAAAACTCTTCTTAAATTAGTGGTGGGGGAAATTTAGAATGCAAGAGGTGGGGCAGGGAGACCATGTACACCTATTTATACTAAAGTGTAAGTGACTTCAATTAAATCAATAAACGTTTATTAGGGACTTACAATGTGTCCAGTGCTGCTGTGGGTGGGATGCATCAGTGAATAAAAAACCAAAACTTTATACAGAGTTTACATTCTAGCAGGAAGAGACTGACCACGAGTAACGACTATAACCGATAGTGCTTCATACACAATGTTAGAAGATACATGCTGGGGGGGAAAGAACAGAACCAGGAGGGGAGGTTCAGGAGGGCCATTGCTGTGGGGCAGGGAGGTGGGTTTACAATTTTAAACAGGTGAGGAGTGATATTTGAGCAACAACCTGAAGGCAGTGAGGGAGAGCCATGTGGATCTGGGGAAGGCTTTTCAGGCTGAGCAAAGGTCCGCAGAAAGGAACCGGCCTGGTGTGTCTGAGACCAGTAAGGCAGCCTGAGGCTGGAGCAGGGAGGGAGGGAGCCCGTGGTGGGAGGGGAGGTCAGAAGGAGCAGCGCCTAAGCAGGGGGCCTCAAGGGCTGTCATAAACGTAAGCGTGGGTCTCAGTGAGGTGGGCCCTTGCAGGCTTTGGGGCAGAGGAGCGGGGACTCTAACATCTTTGAAAAAGGTGTCCTTGTTGCTGTATGACGAATAGACTTCAGCAACAAACTGGTGACTATAACATAAAAGAAGCTGACTCCCAGACATAAGGAACAAACTAGTGGTTACCAGTTGGGGATGGGGGCAACACAGGGGTGGGAGTTGCTCAGAGATTCTCAGAACACATTCAAAGGATGAAGAAAGAGCGAACAGATCCCTGCTCTCAGCAGCCCAGCTGTGGGTTCCGAGAGCCGTTCCAGCAGACACGCCGCCCGGCATCTGGCAGGGCCCGGCTGCAAACACGTCTGGGCAAAGGTCCACAGAGGCTCCGGATGGCGGGGGACTGGCCCAGGGGCAGAAGCTCCAGCCAAACTGTGGAAGCAGAAGTTCCAAGGGCACTGGGAAAGCTGAGGACTGGCTTGCTCACCGAGCAAGATCAGAGGCACACAGTAAACACAGGTGTTTCTACCAGAAGCAGCCTTCCTGGCAATATACCCCCCTGCCACCCAGCCACCCAGGGCCGGACTCTCCCAGCTGCCAGGACCCCTGTCTCACAGGGCTGGGGGCACTAAGCTAGGAGCCAGCTGGCCCAGGGGCACCTCCCATGGAAAGCCTCGCCCCCACCACCGAGCCTCAGTGGTGAGGACCCTGACTGGGGATGGGGAGGGAGGCAGGGCTCCTTCATGCAGCCAAGCTCTCTCCTGCCCCCGTTCCCAACCTGGCTGGATGCAAGGCCCCAACTGGCTTGGCCACAAGGACCTAACCTGGCCTGGGGGTAGTACATCAAGGGACTGCGGTGAGAGGGAGGCAGGGCGGCCCGGTGGTCGGGGCACGGGCTGGGTGATAGGCTGCCCTATGTGCGTTTCTCCCTTCTCCCCTTCTTCCCTTGTTCTTTACGGAGGTCTTACTCTGTGCCAGGCCCCGTGTGTGGCATCAGGGTTAGTCTTGAGAGTGCAGTGGGCCAGCTCGACTCAGTGACGTGGAGCCTGAGCCCGATCAGGGAGGCAGGCACACATTAAACAGACAGCCACGCACACACTGCCCCTGGGAGGACTCCCGCAAAGGTGGAGCCGCACAGGGACAACGTGGCAGTCCTTTGGCTGTAACCAGCTACTCAGTTAATCTGATTCTCATCATTGTAATTACAGAACCCATCCCTCTGGCTTTGTAAGAGTAAATGGGACTCACACACAGACCACAGGCCCCACGCCAGGCCCAGAGGGCTCCCTAACCTTACGAGGGTGGGGGCTTTATCGTCCCTGCGGCTGCTGGGAGCCCGGGAAAGAAGAGGCAGGAAAGAGTGTCTCTCCAGGTTGTGGCCTGCGGGGCCTGCCAGGGCAGAGCAGAGGCCAGCGTTGGTTACTGTCAGGCCCACCTTCCCTCTGGACCTGGACTCTTCCTACAGCCTGAGGGGTGGTTTCCAGCCCCCGGGCAGGGCCTGCCTGCTCTCCCTGACCCCTGTTCAGCTGCTGCTGCCAGAGTCCAGCATAGTTCCCAAGTAAGGACATTCCTGGACCCAGACCCCACCGTCCCCCAAGGCAGTCACCCTGCCAGTGGTCTGAGCCAGCCACTATGCCGCGGAGACAAGAAACAAAGCAAGCAGGCCTGGCCGTGTGGAGGCCTGGTTTGGAGCTGGCAAAGCAACCCTGCACTCCCCGCTCCCGCCCTCGGGAAGACAGCCACTGATGGGGAATGGAAGGCCAGGGTGAGAACTTCTCTGTCCCCCCTACCCCCAACCCAGGGCCCTGGTAGCCGAGGGGAGCCCGAGACTCAGCCTCCGCCACTGTCCGTCCCCTAGTCATCTGGAATGGAAGGTACTACACAAGGTGGTAAGTTCCCAGGTCTTCCTACTGCCTCAGTTTCCCTGAGGAGAGTCAGGGTGGGGCACCCGACATTGCCACTGAGGACAGTGTAACCAGGAGGGAGCAGAGTGGGGATGTCTGCTCAGACCTGCCTTCCAGCCAAGGTCTCAGGGACATGGTCCAGGAGAGAGGGGGTGGGGCTGAGGAGGGCCAGGGATCTTCTGGGAGCGGGCTGGTTTTATGGGTGCAGCCCATGCAGCCACACAGAGCCCGTACTTAGAAGGGCCTGGGGCTTGGCTTCATGCTCTGTTACCACTGTCTGAAAATTCCTAATAGTCCTTTTTAACAAATGGCCGCACAACTATGTTCCTGGTCTTGTCTGAGGGAGAGGATGTTTACACACAAAGGGCCTTCCTGTCTAGGGGACAGAACTGGAGGATGTGGGAGCAGTGGACCCATCACCTCCGCCAGCAACTCCAGTGAAGATGAAGAGAGCACAGGCCTCGTCTTGACTCTGGCCAAATGGGATCTGTGTTTCTGGAAGAGAGGAAAGAGAAACAGTCCTGGCCTCAACAGGTTGCAGACGAGGGAGGAAGAAGGGCAGGGGTCAGGGGAGGCCCGCCCTGCCCCTTTACGTCCTGGTTGCCTCTTCCCCCACAGAGGAGGAGGAGCACTGATGACCCCCACGCTGCAGTTCTGAGGCCAGCGGGCAGAGAGGGGCCTGAGGTAGTGAGGCCTCAGAGCCAGGAGGAAGACCCTTCAGGGGCCTCAGTCCACAGGGCCAGCCCAGGCCCGCTCTGGCCTCTGGTCTCCAGCCAATAGGTAATTCAGAAATTCCTCCAGAAGGCTGCCCGGGCCTGCCCGCCTCACTCCCCCAGCCTGAGCCAGCCTGCCTGGGCCGGGCCGACTCCTGGTTTCCACCACCCAGAGGCCAGCCAGCTGCTCCTGCGCCTCCCCCTGCTCACAGCTGGTCCAGGGTCAGATGGTGCCGGGAAACGCATTGGCAGCAGGGGAGCTGGCCCAGGGTCCCCGGCCAGGGCCAGGCTCCACGGAAGAGGGTGGAGAAGAGGCCCAACCCAACGTGTGCTGTGGGGGAAAGAGGTGAGACTTAGCCTTGGGGATCGGCCTGAGGCCCTGCCTGGAGCCCAGCCCAGTTCTCAGAAGCCAGCCCCAGAGGAGTCTGCCTTCCCTGGCAGAGGCCGCCAGGCATGAGCCAGGAGCCCAGGGCAGGGCCTGCCCCAGCGCCTCATCTTCTGTCCCTGAGGCTGAGAACTGGGCCACCAGAAGCCACCTTCCCCTGGATCCCAAGATCCCAGCAGCTAATCCCCTCTCCATTAAGATGCAAATTTTCTCCAGAGGCCCGGAGAGGCCAGGCTGAACTTCTGGGGAAGTTGTGGCCAGCTGACCTCATTCTCAAGTAAGACCCAGAGGAAAGGGCAAGAGAGGGGATTTAGTGAAACTGGCAGTGAGATTTGCTTCTGCAGAAGAGGAAGGAAGGGGACAAAAAGGGTAGATGAACTTACTAGTTTTAAAACTGTGTCCTGGACAGGCTGCCAGCTTCTTGAGGCCAGTGCTAGATGGGGCCCGGATGGCACAAAGCGGATCAGAGTTCTGGAGTCAGAGCCCAGCTTTACCGCTGCCTGGCCGCAGGACCCTGGGCGAAACACGACATGTCCCCGCCACAGCTTCCTCACTTGCAAAGGGGGAGCTAAAAGCCCCCCCCAGGTCGCCGTGAGTGCAGGCATCACTCAGCATTACGGGGGGCTTGATGCCATGCCAGGCGCAGAGAACACGATCGCGCTGCGGACACCGCCCTTTTCCATGGCAGTCACTCCGTCCACCCCTGACCCGGCTGCATGCCCCACTCTCCCACTGCCCAGCAGCAATTCCAGGCCCAGTTCTGACTCAAGCTAGATCTGGACGTGACCTTGGAAGAGATCCCCAGGCCCCCTCTGGAGCTCTGGTCCGTACAGCAGGGGAACCAATGCTTTCCCCGCCTCGCTCCCTCGGTACCGTGTCCAGCACCACGAATGCAGATGCGAGGACCCCAATCCCATTTGCCTAAAATTGTTGAAAGAATCCAGTAGTACCCTGATTCACCTCCAGGTCTATCAAATCAACCACACTTCAGAACACAAATCTTCTTCCTCATCTCCTTGAGGAATAAGAGGCCCCCTCATGGGCCTCTACATTCTCAGGGCCTCTAAGGTCTGCAAGCCAAGCGCAGTCCTCCCTGCCTGCTCTGGAGGGCAACCACCTGCTCCTGCCTGACTGGATGACCCTCCACTAACCTGGCCCTCTGCCATCTACTGCCCTCACCGCTGCCTGCTTCTCAGAAACCCCAGCTGTCTCCCTGACTCAGTTTCCCCCTAGTAGAGCTACCCCTTAATTGTGCTCCCCTCCTGTTTTGATCTCTGTTCCTGCCCAAGGTTTGACTCTTGACCCCGGACCTCCAGCCACGATCTCTAACATCTGACCACACACAGACCAGCTGACCACTCCCACATGTCTCCCTGTTTCTCATCTCTAGTCACTAATGCGCAGCCCAAGCCTTCTGCAAAGTGCCCCATAAGCCTCTCCAAGAGCTTCTGGAAACTTCTGGGTATCTTGAGGGGGTCCAGGTAGTTCCGCAGGATTGGTGTGTTGGGGTCCACTGCTCAGCCTTCATCTACCATGTGCGGTGCACACTCTGTCCTTTGGTTTGCCTCCCACATCAGGACCCTGCAGCCCTTCCCTTCACCTCACATCATCCTTGCTCTTGCAGAAAGAGGGTTCATCCCATGGAGGGGTCTGGGGACCCCACGGAGCCATCACTACATCTCTGGGACTGGCAGCCCTCTCAGAATTACAGCCAGAAAGGGGGGGGGGGCTGTTCCCTCTATTCTTAGTTATTCAAGCATAACTGGGGCTTCTAGTGTCTGGCCCCCAAGGATTCAGCCCCGCCAGTGGGGAGGTGAGAAGATTCCCACAGAGTTCCCCACCCCACGCCCAGCTTTCTGCTCTGACCTGGAGACCTTCTCTGTCCTGGGGGTTGACGGGAAACGGGAGAAAGGAAGGGGGTAATTAGTCTCGCCTGACCATTTTGCCATCTGTAACCTATGGAAAAGCTTCAAGTCTGACGTCCAAATTCATCATCTTGCAGCTCAGAGGCTGAGGAGTGTCCTGGGGCTAAACAGTCAGCTAGTACTTGCCGGTTGCCTTGCAGGGCAGGGTGTAAAACCCTCCCACTGGAGCCCGTGCTGGGCATCACAACTTGCAGTGTCCTCTGCTGCGAGCTGGGGCCCAGAGTTCTGGACCAGGGAGCCTGCCTGAGAGCTGTCTCCTTCCTCGTCCAAAGAAACAGCGAAGATGATGGTCGCTTTCAGCCCCAACCCCTCCCCATAGACCAGAAAGAGCTGCCCCAGCGGCCCAGCTTATTTTGGAGAAACTCGCCCACATCCTGTGCTGGCTCTTCTTCCTCCCCACTCACTTCAGGTCTCCACGCCCTAGCCCAGAATCCAGCTCAGGGTTGGAAAGACTTGGTTTTACCTGCCTCTGTCACCGACCCACTGTGTGACTTCAGCAGGCTGCTTAAACGTTCAGCCTCAGCTTGCTTGTCTGTAAAACGGGAGTAATACGCACACTTCCCTCCTAGGGTTGTGAGAATCAGATGAGCTAATGTGGGTAAAGTGCAGAGCTCAGTGCCTGTTCAGAGTTAAGCGAGGATAGTTATTTTTATTCTTATTACCATTGTCTCCATCACAGCAGGGAAACAAGTTAATAAACTGCTCCCTAACAGAGCCAATTAAGGGAGGCCTGCTGGGCAGCTGTCCAGATACTAACCCAGGAGGAGGCTCCGATGCTCAGTGTTATAACATCACTGGTCCTATAACCGGACGGAGACAGCTGTGTTCTCCACCACCTCCCAGGAAGAGGACCCACTTGCTCAAGCTGCTTGGGGCTGGAGAGAGAGCTTGGCTGAGGAACATGCTCAATACAAGAGCTGTTTACTGAAGTGCCTTCCAAAGAAGTTGGGCTGGTCATTGGCAGGGTGTTTGTTGGAGAGGGGCCAAATTTCCCAGGAGAGTCAAGGGGAAACTGAGGTTGCTGCCAGCCTCCCTCCTCTACCCTGCACCCCTCTACACAGGGCTCTGCCTCTCCCAGGTGGGGACAGCACACATCCCAGCCTGGGCCTCCTGCCTCTGCAGGGGCTGCTCCCACCAGAAATGTAGTCAGGTACCAGAAGTGGTAGGCGCGTGGTGGGGCTGGGAAGCATCGTCTCCAAGGCTCCACCATGTGCCATCTTCTATGAACGGTCCCCATTCTTGCCCCTCTGAGGCTTTCTCTGGAGCAGAGCTACTCAAAGTGCCATCTGAGGCCCTTCAGCAAACCACTTGCTCAGATCCAGGGTGGGACAAGCACAGAAAGTGTCGGCAAGCATTTAGATACTTTCCCAGCACTTTGACAGAGTTGTTTTATATCAGTTGAATCTAATAATTTTTTAAAATTGGCTTATATTATACGTGTCTCTTGCTCATTTCATTTTTTTCCCAGCAATTCTTTTGTCTTCTATTTTACAGAAGAGATGGCCCATCATTGATTAGATATTACAAAGAAAACTATTGGCCCTTGACCACAGAGCTGGAGAAGCTCTGCTCTAGATGTCCTTTCATCTGGGTCTTAGCAACCTTCACATCGACATATTACATTAAAACAACCTAAATGTCCATCAGCAGATGAATGGATAAAGATGGGGGAGGGTGTATATATATATAATGGAATACTACTCCGCCATAAAAAAGAATGAAATAATGCCATTTGCTGCAACGTGGATGGACCTAGAGGTTATCATGCTAAGTAAGTCAGACAGAGAAAGAAAAATATCACATGATATCACTTATATGTGGAATCTAAAATATGGCACAAATGAACTTATTTACCAAACAGAAACAGACATAGAAAGCAAACTTATGGTTACCAAAGGGGAAAGGAGGTGGGGGAGGGATAAATTAGGAGTTTGGGATTAGCAGATACAAATTACTACATATAAAACAAACAACAAGATCTTACTGTGTAGCACAGGGAACTATATGCAATATCCTGTAATAAACCATAATGGAAAAGAATATGAAAAAGAATACATATATATGTGCATTTTTTGGCTGTACACCAGAAACAAACACAACATTGTAAATCAGCTATGCTTTAATAGAAAAACTGTGCCGCCTAGAAAGACAGTATACAGGAGGCGCCAAACACCCCCTTCCCCCAACCCCAGGTCAGCTTCCTCATCTTAGCTGTCTAGCCCGGAAGCTCCCTCCTCCATCAAGCCATCCCTGCTGTCCAGTTCACAGCCCTCTCTCCTCCCCTAGAACCCACAGGACTTTCTGTCTCCATCACTCGTTTGGCAATTTAGATAATAATAGTAACAATAATAATAATAACGTGCAAGGCATTGTGCTGTCACACTGAGCACGCACCTCCTCTGTTGTGTTGCCTTTGTGGCTACTTTTCAGCCTCTGTTGCCAACACTTGACTGCTGTGTATGGAATTCTCCACTCCCAGCTTTGAGGCTCCCAGGCACCAAGCCCACTGCCCGCCCTCCTGGGCGCCCCCCACTTGCTGGGCACAGGGCACCGCAGGAGGCAGACAGACAAAGACACAAATAGACCCAGCAGCGGAACTGCCTCGGGGTGGGGGTTGGCAGCGGGTAAGGAAAGGGAGGAGCAAAGAAACTCCTTTCTCTTTCTTCCATGTGCATTTCCAACACTAGGGCTTTTTCGTTTTAGAACATACTGATTATTTTTTTTTAAGTCATAAGTGCATAAGGTAAAAAATGTGAAGCTGACAGAGAGCAGAGAACAGGTAGGGTGTGTGCAGCCCACTGGCCCCATGACACCACTCCTGTCCTCCCTTCGAGGATGCCCATGCGTCTGCAGGTACTTCTGTGTAGCGCTCCCTTTGTTTTCATGTCGCTGAGAACTCACCACGCGCCCCTCTGCACTTGGCCTCTTCTGGCAGTAGATCTCAGCCAGCAACCCTCTCTCATGGACGCCTCTCAGAATCTTCTTTCTCACAGACACCAAGCCGGAAGCTTCCTCGGAAACCTGCTCTTGCAGGGATGCCCAGATGGGGCCTCAGGTGTGGGTACCTGTCTGCTGGGTCAGAGCTGGGGCCACACCCTGACCAGGGTGAGTGCAAGTGCATCTGGGAATCCATATTTCTTTTTTTTTTTAAGAATAAATTCATGTTATTGCTAACAAAACTAAATTATATAAACACTATGCAGACCAAATGTTCTTTCAAAGCTTCTTTAAGATGTTTCCATGCTTACTTCTTACCAAAACCAGCACCACAACTTTCCTGACAGAGCAGGGATAAAAGGATACCCAATTAATATTAATAGAGAGGGGATGGATAGAGCTCAGTGGTAGAGCACATGCTTAGTATGCACAAGGTCCTGAGTTCAATACCCAGTACCGCCATTAAAAAATACATATGTACACTAATAGATATACATACATTTCCTATCAGCAGTACATTTCACAGTGCTCTGTAATGTAACATCTAATTCCTGCTTCTTTTTTTTTAACTTTTTTTTTTTGAGTTATAGTCATTTTACAACGTTGTGTCAAATTCCAGTGTAGAGCACCAATATTTCTTTAAAACATCTCAGCCTGGAAATCTCAGATCATGCCCTGGCAGGTCATTTACTCCGCTCTAATAACAGGTGAGGAAACTGAGGCTCAGGGAAAGGAAATGATGGCCCAGGTCACACAAGAAGTAAGTGGCAGGGAGACTCCCAAGCTGGGTCGGGGGAGTGCATTTCCCCTGGCACCAGGCCTTAGGGCCTGTACTGGTTTCCAAGGGCCTATACTAATTACCACAAACTGGGGTGCTTAGGACAACAGAAGTTCATTCTGTCCCAGTTCAGG